CATTTCATTATCTGCAGTTCTTCAAAACATCCACACCCTCAGCAGTAGCTCAGGGGCCCAACAAGAAACAGATGCATGTGATTTAATGATAGTTTGCCAGCATGCAGATTACTAATATGTCATTAAGCTAATCTTATGTCCTCCTACAAGTAGGTCAAAGCTTTTTAACACTGTTGGTCAATCTGTTTAGCTGAGGCATTTTCCCCCTCTGCAACAATCCCATCTCACATATTTTAGTTCTATTCAGAGAGTTTCTTTCATGAATGCAGTAATAATACAAAGCCTCACTTTTACCTGTTGATCATTCATTGGCCTAGCATGTGAATTTTCTGTGTTTTAAATGTTAAATGTATATGTTTTAAAGAAAAAAATGATATTAATAAACTGAGGTCTATCAAAGCATATTCATTGTAAACTAATTTATTAAAATCTTTTTAAAAGAAATTCCCATAAAGAAGCACTAGATTTTAATGTGTAAGCCATTATAATTCACTGCAATTTTCTTCTTTCCAAATTATTTAAGTGGCATCAATCATGCTCACCATGAAATATCTATAAAAAGTTATTTAAAATGTAGTACATACAGTAATACAAACAGACATGACTGATAAAAGATTAGCTGATCTTTGCATTCATATAAACAAAAGTGTATAGTAAATGAGCACAAATACTGGGCTGCCTTGATTTATCGATTCTACATTACTTAATAACATACAGCATCTCTCTTCCTAATACATCTTATCTGAGACTGCACTTGGGGGGTTCAATGAATCAGAATAGAATTGGAAGGGACCTTGGATGTCTTCTATTCCAACTCCCTGCTTAAGCAGGAGACCATGTAGAATTTGAGACAAGTGGCTGTTAGGTTGAATGTGGTCATTAAATACTCTCCCACCTATGAAGGGCTAGCATTCAAATGAGACAAACAAGAGGGCTTTTTTGCCACACAATTTTTTGACAAACCAGTTGAAGATCTGATGGGAGAAATAAATTTAAAATACACTTTCAATTTAGAGAAAGTCAATGAGGTGATACTATTACTCAGATCAGACTGGTCTGTTTGCAATTTAATGTCTATACTTCTGATTTTCAGCACTTCTGTGATCACAGTTTGCATCTGCGCTTTACATTCTGACTTCTGACTACTGAGGAGATAGAGTGGTGAAGACTTACAAACATATCTAATATGTACAGTCTTGCCTTAGGTAACATTTCTTAATTTATTAACACCATAGTTCCTAGCTTGGCTGCCATAAATTATGAAACTATAGAAAATGAAGGATCTATTCCATACACACCCTCACACACCTGTTAGAAGCAGGTAAAAATAATCTTGTCAATCTGACAGTGGAACAGAGTAGAAAAACAGTATTTTAGTATTAATTCTATGGATTCACAAATAAAAGTTATTGCACCAATGCACCTCCCCTCCCCAAATTGACACATGATAACTGCCTATTTCTAACAAAAGTAAAAAAGCTTCCAGTTTGACACTGATAACCATACTCACATGTAGTACCTGCATGTTCTCTTTGGAGATATCCTATAGAACGCGGTGTGTCTTTCCTTAATAAATAACATGTTATTTAACTCAAGTAATCCAGTTTATTGACCCAGTTTGTGAAAGAGTTGTTGCGCTTGGAAACAGTTGTCTTACTGTTATGCTGGCATTTTGAAAGTCCACTCCTCTTCAGCAATTATCAGTTCCAGAACAGTTCATTTCAGATGAGATTCCCAGAATATGGCAAGTCTTTAAATATTAGACATCAACATACAAAAATTTTAAATGCATTCATTTATACAGGCAGTCTTTGACTTACATTTCATTTAGTGACTGTTCAAAGCTAGAGTTTTCTGCTAAAAGTGACTATTACTGTGTTTCACACTTATGACCATTGCAGCGTCCCCATGGTCATGTGATCAACATTTGGCTGCTTGGCAACTAGGTTATATTTATGACAGTTGCAGCGTCCCAGGGTCATGTGATGACCTTCTGTAACCTTCTGACAAGTAAAGTCAGTGGGGAAGCCAGATTAACTTAACAGCCGTGTTACTAGCTTAGCAACTGCAGTGATTCACTTGACAACTGTGTTAAGAAAGAGCCATGGTGGTTAAAATGCGGTATTGCAGGCTAATTCTGCTGACTGCCAGCAGTTCGATTCTCACCAGCTCAAAGTTGACTCAGCCTTCCATCCTTCCGAGGTAAAACGGGGACTCAGATTGTTGGGACAATATGCTGACTCTGTAAACTGCTTAGAGAGGGCTGTAAAGCACGACAAAGCAGTATAGAAGTCTAAGTGCTATTGCTAAAATGGGGCAAAACTCACTTAGCAAACATTTAATGAAGAGAAGGACGAGGGGGGACATGATAGCAGTGTTCCAATATCTCAGGGGCTGCCATAAAGAAGAGGGAGTCAAGCTATTTTCCAAAGCGCCTGGAGGCAGGACAAGAAGAAACGGGTGGAAACTAATCAAGGAGAGG